ACAGGAAGCACACCACATCCCTAAAGCAGCTACTCAGCTGCTCACGGCACATTCCACCATGGAGTTGATTAGCAGGCTCATCGTAGGGAATACTATGTCCAGCTCCCCAGCCACTCAACCAGGCCCAGCCAAGTTGACACACAAGCTTAACCACTACAGGTGACAATCAAAGGCCCAGGCTGCACACACAAGGGAGGGCTCATTACATGGTCCTGGTCGATCCTAGTATGACACACTCATGGTGCTCGTCGGGGTATCTCTGCTCAGTGATTATCCTCATTTGCCCATATGCGTCCCAGCAAAATGGGGCCTCCTGAATCTTTGTGGCCATCATGCGACTGGCCAGTTCTCACATCTTACTTTGGATGCTCAGAGCGCCTGGGAGGTGGTGTTTGGCAGCAGACTTGGACACCTCAGACTTTCCATGTTAGAAACAGCTCACATAAAGCCCTGGTGAAGTCTGGGCTGCACCAGAGCTGCTTGAGGGCAGGCCCTGCCAGTACCTAGTGCAGAGCAGACCAAGGACAGAGATCACTTTCAGGCCTACAGTCAGCAGGGCTCTGCTCCGGACCACACAGCTGGATGCATGGAGACGGGGCAGTTGGCCTTATCCTCCCGGCCTGGGGCTCAGAGCTGGGTGAGGCCAGCTTGGTGGAGAGGCTCCTAGCAGCCAGCTCACTTGTTTCAGCACCTGTTTTCCCGCCATCCCCACGGGGGCTTCTCTCCCCAGCTTTGGCCTGGCCCCCGCTGCCCCACTCCAGGTCCATGCGCCGCTCAGCCCCAACCAGACTGTGGAGATCTCCCTGCCTCTAAACACCGTGGGCTCAGTCATGAAGATGGAGCCACTCAACAACCTCCAGGTGTGTTGCACGCCACACACAGCCAAACACCCAGTCCTGCCCACCACTAGTCCTGGGGAAGGTGGCTGGGTGGAGAGACACGTGGCCCAGCCATTGTCAGCCAAGGGCTGCATCCCTGGAGTCATGCTCTTGGCCACAGGTCGGAGAGGACTAAGGGGCATGGTGACTGGGGAGGGGATGTGACAACCTGCTTTGAAGCTGGCCCTTCCTGGGGCCTCAGAAGAGGTGTCAGCAAGGGACCAAGCCCCAGGAGCAGACCAGGCACCCCCTTGTTGTCCCAGGTGGCTGTGAAGAACAATATTGATGTCTTCTACTTCAGCACGTTGTATCCACTGCACATCCTCTTTGTAGAAGATGGGAAGATGGGTGAGTCGTGAGGGAGCCCTGAACCCTGGAGGGGGGCTGTCTCCAAGATGATGCCTCCCCAAGAAATAGATTGGCTTGGCCCATGGTGGAGCCAGTGAGTGAGGAGCCTTGGGTGAGGATGCCTCAGGGCCTTGTCTGGTCATCTCTAGTCCAGCAGGGCACTGTGCCTATCGAGCCTTGTCCCCAGTGCCATCAACTTGTGTGTTCTTCAGCCCTGCCCCTCAGCCTTGCTGGCAGCCTCTAGACAGCCTCCCTTGGGGCTTTCTGTCCACAGGCCCCCCGAGGCAGGGAGCCCTGTGTGATGCAGGCTCGGCCCAGCTCAGCCCCATGTGGAGCACTTGTCCATGTCCCCTCACTCAGTCGCTACAGGTACCCTGGGCTGCAGGTGGCGTGCATGCTGTTTCGTAAAGAAGCAGTCAGACTAGAGAGGTGAGGTGACCAGCCAAGGTCTGGGCAGGCCAGAGCTCTCTCAACCATAGAGACTCAAGGGGCCTGAGCTTAACCCACATGGGCCTCCCAGTCCAGTGGGAGAGGAAGGGGTATGAAATGAACACACTGTCCAGAGACTCACCCCCCAGGCAGCCTGGGCGACCTGCCAGGTTCCCGAAGTTCTTGGGGGAGGAGGAAGGGCTTGTGCGGCTGGTAGGAGGAAAGAGCTGAGAGCCAGAGGCAGGGAAGCCGTATGGTGCTGTCTTGGGAGGAGCTGGCATGGCCGGTCAGGATAGGCCTGCTTGTTCTCTGCTTCAAGGTGGCAGCCTGTGCCAGACCCACTTCCTGTGGAATGGTGGTGGTGAGTGGGCCCACAGTTGACCAGGGCCCTTCTCTTAAGCCCCATCCCGTTCCCCCTCCAGACCGGCAGATGTTCCTGGCCACGTGGAAGGACATTGCCAATGAGAACGAAGCCCAGTTCCAGATCAGAGACTGCCCCCTCAACGCAGGTGAGGAGCCTGGACTCTCACCCGACCCTGGTCCACGGCCCCTTTGGGCCCAGGCCCTGACTCCTGCCTGTGGGCCTTCGCTGGCCATCTGACCCCACAGAGGCCGTGAGCAGCAAACTGCAGAGCAGCAACATCTTCACTGTTGCCAGGAGGAACGTGGAGGGACAGGACATGCTGTACCAGTCCCTGAAACTGACCAATGGCATCTGGGTGCTGGCTGAGCTGCGGATCCAGCCAGGCAATCCCAGCCTCACGGTGAGACCCCCTGTCCTGACCAGGACAACCCCTCCTGCCTCTCGCTCACTCCTGGGCTGGGGGTGGCTGTGCCAAGGGTCCTTCAAGCCGGGCGTGAATAAGGATCAGAATCCTGTCCCCAGAAGGGATCTTAGAAAGCTTCCAACTCAACCCCATCAAGTTACCAAGACACGTGACACCAAATTGGGCCTCAGAAGCTGGACTAGAAGATTCTATAGAACTGGGTCCCGAGGCCCCACCTGCTGAACAGCGGCACTGCTGGGCCAGCCCTGCCCTCCTCCCATGCCTGCCTATGCCCAGGGAAAGGCCGCTTTCCTGGCAGGCTTCCTGCTTGGCCTTGAGTCGGAGCCCCGTGGGGAGGCTCTGCCCTCTGTCGGGAGGCTCTGCCCTTGGAGTGCATGGTTGTCCAGGGGTCTCTGCACCCCTTGCAGGCCTCTAAGAGCCCCCAAATTTGGGTCCTCCTGTGCCCTGGTGTTCTCTAGCAGGAACATCCCTCCAGACACTCTTGCCCACCCTGCTGCAGTGTTGGCACTTTGGTGGGTTGGGCTGTGGCGGTGGCTGCGGTGGTGGTAACCTCCATCTCCTTGTGTTTGGTTGCTGTGTGCCCACCCTCCCTGCTGGGGGCCACCGTGCAGGATTTGGAGGTCAGCAAGTTGCTTTTCTCTCCTCCTCCCCGCTCCTCCCTGGCCGTGTTGCACACCCCCATCTCATGGCTTGGCTCTGGGGCACCCCCAGCCCTCCCAGCCTCACCTTGCCGCTCCCCAGTGCCCAGCAGAAATGCGTGTAGACTGCAGACAGGAGCAGGCCATCCCTCCTGAGATCCCAGATGCTTTCCCACCATGGCCTCAATGACAGGAGCTGGCACCCCCACTTCTCAGCCCATAGGGGACCCCTAGCGGGCCCCCACTGCCCACTTCTATATCTCTACTTGCCCCTGCTCCCCCTTCCTGATTGCACCCTTCGACACCAGCGATTTTAAGTGGAAGGGTGAGTGGCACTTCTCCGTCCTCTGTCTGTAATCTCAAAGGTCATACCACAGTTAGCGCTGAGGCCAAGTCTCTAACACACCGGCTTCCTATGTAGGAAACCCAGGAATACCACCAGCCACTTGCCATCACCTTGAGCAAGGACCGGCTCCCGGTCCCTCCAGCCCCCTGCTTCCTCCTCAGGGTTTCCTGTCAGGCTGGGCCAAAGGACCCGGAGCCTCAGGGAGGTGGTGGGCTCTGTAGGTACAGGATGGGGCTGGCAGGCCCGGCCACGGCTCATGAGTCACGCTGCTTGCCAGCACGGCTCTGCTGGCTGAGCTGACAAAAGGTGTGTGGGCTGCAAGTATGGCTGGTCCACACGCAGCTGCTGCAGCGGGCACCCCTCCGCGGTACCGCACATCTGCCCCAGCCTAGCTGCGCCGCCACGGAGCCCCGTGCACGCGCACCACGCTCTCCCATCTGGCTCTCTTCCCTACCTGCATGCACCTTTCCGCTTGGTTCCTGGTGGCCCCGGCAGGAGCCCCTGGAATGACAGCCCTCTCCCTACCACAGCTGTCCCTGAAGTGCCGAGCACCAGAGGTGTCCCAGCACGTGCACCAGGCCTACGAGACCATTCTCAAGAACTGAGGCCTGCCCAGCGCCTGCTGCTGCCCAGCCGGCCCACCCCTCCTCCTGGAGTGAATCTCAGTGCACATCCAGTGACCCCCCTCTTAAGTTGCTGTTGACGTTAGGGTCAGGTGAGGAGAGGACCAAAGGAACCAGAAGCAGAGACAGCCCAGGGAGACCCCAGGATTCTTCTCCCCGCTCATGCCTGGATGGCAAGAATGGGGCTCTGTCCTCAGGTTCCGGCCCCAGGAGCCCCTCTGCGTGGGATTAGAAGCCCTCCCGCTGCCGCCTTGTGTGAGCAGGGCCCATTCGCCCTGTACCACTGGATGTGCATGGAGGGTCCCCTTGGAGAGCTGCTCTCAGGACTTGGGCTGCAGGGTGTCCGTGCCAACAGGGGCAGGGCTGCAGCCACTGACCTAATTCGCTGCCACCCATGCTGGCGCCCTGAGCATCTGGCCCAGCACGGCCAAGACTGGGCAGAAGCAGCCCGAGCCCCCGGCTGGGTAGTCCTGCTTGCAGGCAGCTGTATCGCCCCGCCCCGTCTCTGAGGACGGTCACTGCTGCCGTGCACCCCTCACTGTTCCCTCAGCAGAATGCGAAGCCCAGAGCCGAGACGGGGCCGGGGGCCTGGGGCCGAGGGTATACTTCCTGCTGGGGTTTGTCTGGGGTATCCCTTCCGTGTCTGCTCTCTCGCCAGCCTCCCGGTTTCAGTCATGTCTGACAGCATTACGGTTTCCTGTCACTGCTGTTTAATAATAAAGAAAGATTCTGCTTTTGGCAATCACGGACACTTTTTTCCCCTCCACCAAGTGGCAGGATTGGCAGGCAGTCTCCGAGTGGTTGGGACAGTTCCTGCCCCCTGCAATCACTAGATCTTATATACACGTGTGTGTGTGTGTGTGTGTACACACACACACACATGAGAGACTATATATTGTATGTTTACTCTTATTTTCAAAAAGAGAAAGTGAATAAAAATGATGACAACAAGCGTGTCCCTGGCCGGTGTGTCAGGTCCTGAGGTCCTCTGGGTGACATCCCGGGCTGCTGCATCCCAGGGTCAAGGGCTGGGCCCCAGCTGCTCCCCAGCCCTCTCAGGACCATGCTCCCTACAGCTTGTCTCTGGAAACCAACTCCTAAGACCAGTGGGCTCCTCGGCACCTGTCCTGCCTGCGCCCCAGCCGACGCCGTCTGGTCCTGGGATGCTGGTGGGAGGATCCAGGTTCTTACTCTGGCTTCGCCTGCTCCCTGCTCTGGAGCCTGGCAGCCTGGGCGGGGCTCTGAGCAGCAGCAGCTAAGGCGGGAGGGAGGAAGCGGTGGCGAGGCTGTGCCAGCCCTTCTCTCAGCAGCTGGCGCCACGCCTGGCTGGACAGGCTGCCCCCTACCTGGCAGCAGCCACTGTCTGGGTGCAGGTACTAAGGTGGCCACCCTGGCCAGCACCCATGACGCCCCATGTGGCCCCAGATCTGCCACTGGCCAGGTTCCCGGGGGAGGACACCCAGACCTGCAGGCCCGTGCATGGCTTCTGAGCACCTCCTTGGACCTGGAGCCACCGCTGGCTGGAGAGTCCTGCTCCTGAGGAGAGAGCAGCTCGGGTGCCCCATGCCGTTTCCACCCCGCTGCACCCTTGAGCGCGGTCTGTGCTTGGCACCCTACACCCCTCCAGACACCACTTCCCTCCCGTGGAAGCTGGGCAGTGCCAGGGCTGCTGACCCAGGAGGTGTCACCATACTGCTGATGACCACTGAATCCAGAACCAACCAAGGTCTGACAACACTGGCTCTAGTCTCACTTCACCTGAAAGTCTCTGGGCTCAGAAGGTTTGACACACAGCTGAGTGCCCGCCCAGCCGAGCAGGCCAACTATGCGGGATCGGCAGAGCAGGGCAGGCTGCTCCACAACAACTCGGCTACGTGCAGGGTCCAAGCATGCCGTAGGCTAGAGACCATTCTCAAAGCTGCTGCTTATATACAGGAGACAGGCCACATCCCTAAAGCAGCTACTCAGCTGCTTGTGGTAGATCCCACCATGGAGGTGATTGCCAGTCTCATCATGGGGAATAACTACCACCAGCTGCCCAGCCACTCAACCAGACCCAGCCAAGTTGACATACAGATTTAACTACCACACCATGTTGCCCCCAAAATCCCATTGTCGGCGAGTCGGTTACAGCTCATAGTGACTGACCCTTCCAAACTCAGCATATTATCAGACTTTCTGATGTTTACCAAACTGATGGGTGAGAAATGGTGTCTTACTGTGCTTTGAAATGTGAGTCTCTTCATGGGTTTTCATTTTATTGTGGTAAAATATATATTGCAAAAAACTCGTTTTCACCATTTTCAAGTGGGTAATTCAGTGACATTAATTACATTTACCAGGTTGTGAGACCATCACCATTATCTGTTTCTAAACTTTTTTCAATACTCACAACCCCAAACAGAAACTCAGTACCCCTTAAGGATTAACTTCCCATTTCTCCCTCCCCCAGTTCCTGGTAACCACTCATCTACTTTGGTCTCCATGCATTTGCCTAGTCCAGTTATAGGATCATACAGTATTTGTCCTTTCGTGTCTGACTTATTTCACTCAGCATGTTTTCAAGGTTCATCCATGTCAAAGCATCTATCCGAACTTTATTTCTCTTTATGGGTGAATAAAGAGGATGTGGAATGAGGGATATCATTGCTGATGTCAGATGGATTTTGCCTAAAGCAGAGAATTCCAGAAAGATGTTTGCCTGTATTTTACTGGCTATCTAAAGCCATTCAGCTATGTGTATCATAAGAAATTTATAGAGAGCTGTTAGATAGATAGAGATAAATATTGATTTGGGTGAAGAGAAGGGCAATGTACCAAATGTGAGTGACCAATATGGCAGCATTGAGGA